TATATATACGTATATACACACACATATATAAGCTCTGTCTTGTTAATGGGGAGAATGCAGGAAAATCACAGCTTTCAAAATATCCTCAGCTGTCTGTTATAATGTACAGTCTATGCAGACCGCGGTGCCAGGCACTGCAGCAACTAAGAGGTATGACGATGTTAAACCATGGTTGGGAGATTAACCCAACTCTCTGGTCCCAATGTGAGCCAGGGCAGCAGCTCTTCATTTTGGCATTGCTGGGGTCTATGCAGACGAGCTCTCCCAGCCAAGGTAAAACAAGATCAGAATCCACGGGAAGAAAGAGCCCTGTCACTGCTTTTTCGTGTTCCAGCGTAGCTCTGACCAGTGCAGCAGGCCACTGGCTAACTGAACAACTTCTATATGTACAACTCAGTGACCCTGATTACATTCGGGTTATTAAGTCATTCTCGCTAGTCTTTTCCATGGTTGCCTCCACCATCAACATCAATTCAGCTCTGTAGTCAGGACCCCCACCCCACCCCACCCCCAACCTCTGGCACCCACTACTCAATCATCTTTGAAAGCTGGTGGGAACTAGAATGAAAGGATCATGGAATATTGCAACCAACTTTTTGAAGAGCCATCGTATTTGCTTGTTTCACAAACGTGAGATTAAATGGTATTGCCCTTCTGAGTGTACTTATTTGGATCGCTAGTGTTTTCAAGACCCAGCCATATTGTGACCCTGGGACTTCAGTACCCTTTCTAGGTAAGAACCCAGGTTGCACAGTGAGTAAGTGCTCAGCTGCTAACCACAAGGTCAATGGTTAGAACCACAGGAGAATGGCACGGCAGGCTGAGCCCTTAAGGTTTTACATCCTTGGAAACCCTGGCAGGCGCGTCTCTGCACTATAGGATTAATGTGAATTGGAATATGCGGTGGGCATTTCATGATTTCCACCTTTGGGCCACTGTGAAAGGGACTGCATTCAGATTGGTACCGTTTTCTGTTTGGAGTCCTGCCTTTACCTCTTGTAAGTAGGAATCAAGGCCTGGGATTGCTGGGTCATATGGTAGTTCCACATTTTTAAGCAACTGTCAAACTCTTTCAGATAGGAGCCATACCATTTTATTACACTCCTACCAGCAATAGATAAGGACTCCATTTCTCTACAACCTCACCAACTACTCAATGGACTTTCTGTCGTTGTCAAATAGAGCTGAGGTGGTATTTCATGTGATTTCAGATCTGAATTCTCCTAACAGCTAATGGCATGAAGTATCTTTTCATGTGCTTGTTGGAAACGGAATGTCTGCCTTGGTGAGCTTCTCGTTCATGCCCTTTGGCTATTTTGTAATTGGGGTGTCCTTCTGTTGCTAAGCTGTACACAATTTCTGAAAGTCTAAAAAGTGCATTGACCTTGAAAGGATGTTAAGGACAATGTCTGTTTTTCACATTTAATGTATATTAGAAAATTTGAAAGAATCCGGTATTCTTTCATACAAAAAAATATACAGAGTTGAGAAATTGTGCAAGATCAGCTTTTCTGTAAGAATTTTTACTCTAATAGCTTTTCGTGGGTGGAACAGCCAGAATGGATCAAAAGGGATTTTATCATTTG